CACATCCACCATCACTCAAGTGGCGGTCAACCAAATGCTCCTGTGCTCCTAATCTCCCCTTCCTCAAGACCTTCCTAGAGAATGACCCCTAGGTCAACGCCCCCTAACAGCTTGTAGGGTCAAGAGGGAAAGGGGAGCAAGGAAAGCCTTATATGCCTTCTGTATTCCAAGAGCCCTATCTTCCCTCTGCATTCTGACTGGCTCACACCTCTGCACTAGAACAGACCTTCCCGCCTTGAGCATTTGGCACCGCCAAAATTGAACAGAAACAGCGACCTTCATTGGCCAGACAAGGACCTGTAGCGACCACCTATTGGACAACGACCCTTTTAAGACTGAGCAGCACTCACCCTGGGTGTGACTCCCTCAGCATCTGACCAGATCGCAGGACCACACCCAAGAGCTTGTCGTAAAGTAAAAATTTTTCCTGGGTTTTTTTCCAGTACCAAAAGAAAAACAAAAAAGATAAAATTAGTAAGCCATTAGCTAGACTAGTGAAGAAAAACAGAGAGAGAATCTAGATAGATAAAATCAGTAATGAAGCTGATAACATAAATCTGATATATCAAAAATATAAAAATTTGTGAGAAAACTATAAGCAACCTTATGCCAACAAACTAGAAGATCCAGATAAGATGGAAATTTTCCTAATATGCATATGTTACCTAGGCTGAATTGGGATGAAATAGAAATCCTGAAGTCCAATAACAAATGATGAGATTGATTGAGTAATAAATAGTCTCACAATAAGGCAAAGTCCATGTCCAGATGGCATCACTTGTGAATTCTTTTTTTTTGTTCTATATTTTTACTGCCATGAGACTGTATTTTCTATAAGTCCTTCAATCCAGATAGACAGTCACTGCCACTTATAAAGTGAAGGATGTAAATGAGATATGCAACTGTTTCAGTGAACAGATTTTGTGAAGTGCCTTCTGTTTTAGCACTTTATCACATTTTGTTGACTTCTGACATTCCACTTTCCTAGATTATAGGAAAGATCTGTTTATGTAGTTTGTTTTTAAAATGTGCCAATGTCTGTACATTAACAATATTTTTTAAAATAAAATTGTATAAAACATTTAATTTATTGAACTTTTTGGGTACTTTGATATATCATCACTACATTACAACTGAGCCATTAATCTTGTAGCTTCATCAACATTAACAGGTTCATTTTCAAGATGT